TGGCCAATATCAACTGAGAAAACGCCACCGTCCGACGCTTCTGCCTGGAGGTCTGTGCGCGACCCAGACGCAGGCAGTAGCACTCCCTCCCACACCGCACTACAACTAACAATTACTGCGTTTAGTTTATAGTGAATCGTGTTTTTTTATTAAGGATACAGTGAAATCAGCAAAAGAAACATTTACGACAACAGCAACAATAATAACACAACAAGAACCAGAACAGAACAGCAGGCCAGGCCAACTGCTGTGGCAAATGTCGAGACTCGACTTGTATTTAAACGAACGGAGAAACGATAACATTTTAAATGCGCCTCCCCTTGCCCCGCGGGGGGAATGTTATACATTTTTAAATTGAGTTGTATTATAAAAACGGTAGATGGAAGGCGAAAAAAAAATGTTGATTACAGATAGATACTTTGTAAAGAAATCAAACCAAGCGAAGAAAAAAAGAAAAGAAATAATTATAAACAAAAAAAAGAGAAAATCGAAAAAAGGAAAATAATTTTCTACAAAAAAAATTGCAAAATATGTACAATGAGAAAATGCGACAAAAACTAACAAATGCGATGTAAATATGTAGATTGTTGTTGCTAACTACAAAAAACATTCGGCAGAAGGCGAGACAACAAGCAACAGCAGCAATTAGATCAAAGAGAAGATGCAAAGAAAGGACAGCCACAGGAAAACAGAAGAACACACCACACACAACAAATGCTAAAGGAGCGTCGAAGAACATGCAGAAGAATATCCACTCTCAGGACACACTACTCTGAGAAGCAGAAGTCACTACCAATTCGAGTTGCTTGCTCACCTCCTCACTTGCAAATTCTCCTTATCTTTAGTCTCTAAGAGCGCGCCCCTCAGTTAGTCTTCTCGTATATATACGTTAACTTTTAAAGTGTTTCCGCACAAAACAATTGTAACAAACTACCAACCAATGTTTGATCTTTATATTAATTTTGTTTTTTATACCTACCTACCTTTTATTATGAACTGATGATCATTATTAACTGAAAATGGAATTAGCATTGAACACACACACATCTCTTAGCTTGTTAAACTTAAAGTCGATCGATCCTCCCATGTAAAGTTAGAGAGCTGTTAGTATCAGAGAGAAAGAGAGCGAGAGCGTAGGCGAAGGGGAGTCGCAGCCATTATCTATAGAGAGATCTATATATAAATATATAAAATATGTATTTCTAAATATAAATACGTAATGTAAATCGATTATGAATGCGACGCCGGCAGTGGAAGTCATTTATCCTACCACTCCCGCACCCTCTGCAGCCCCAAGCCCCACTCTATAGTTTAAGTCTCTGCACACGAAACACATCCCTTTGTATTTACGCACGCGTCAAATGTATTTTGTATTTTGAATTAAAACTAAACTGAATTGAATCCTGAAGCCTGAAGCCAATCTGTAGAAAGCGAAGATAGCACGTCTCGGTTTTCTAGACAAAGACCCCCCTCCACAACTCATTTATAGACTAATTCCGTTTGCAATGGCTAAGAAGGAAAAGTATGATTATGTATATGATGATGATGATGATTATGTTCAGAGATCGACAGACAGACAGACACAATACAAGAAAAACATTCATTAAGAAAGGATGCGACACAAGAAGAAACCACAACAAATCTACATTGATATAAATAATAATCCATTACAATCGAAATAAGTAACACTATGCATTAAGAGATCAATATATATATATAAAAATTAATATGTATACAAAACAAATATTAAATGTATAAATGGCAAAATTTAAAAAAACTTGCAGCCTTTACTCTTTTCCTCCTTTATGGCCAAGTCTAAAGTAGCGTATGTGTGGGTATGTGTGTATCTGTGGGTTAACACTTAAAAAAGCTCATTTTATTGGAGCAAACATACATATAGCATGTACTCTTTTGTACATATGTACCCCATTTCCGCGCCCAAGCTTACATAACGACCCCACCGCGCTCCTCCCCCCACCCCTTTGGAATGGGTTTGGGTTAAGTAAACACAAATGTCGATAAATGCCGAGTGCGGAGAGAGCGGTTACAGCTTGGAAAAGCGAACCGAACCGAACTCAAATGAAATGTACGCTTGTATTTCCGTGCGTGTATCTATGTATCTATTGTGTGACACGAATTCAGCATTAATTGAAATGCTGCAGTCATCGCAGTGCCAGTGCCAGTGCTCGCCGCCTCCTCCTTCTCCTCTTACTCCTCCTCATGTTTTCGTTGCCAATTCACATGAATTTGTCATAAGGCTGATATGACACAAACAAACAAACGACTGAAGAAGAGAGAAAAAAATTCAAGCAACCAAATTGTGCACAGCGAGAAATATTAAATGTATTTCAGAGTGTATAAGTGGCCAAGGTCACCTGGTTTCGAAGGGGTATCCTGAAAGTAATTCTTATTATGGTCAGTTTCTTAAAGTAGGATTAAAACCGAAATTTATAGTCAACTTTAGCCTTAGCCGGGAGTTATTCTCTAGTTGAAATACTGGCATTTAAGACCCATTTAGAGTTAACAGAGAGTTTTTGAAAAAGAAATGTATAATCTCACTGTAAAGTTCCTGTAGAAATTGTTCTGACCAATAAATAGCAAAACAACTAATTATAATAATTTCTGTGATATTCCAAAGTATTTACGGAATTCTAGTGCACCCTAAACTTAGCTTAAACTAACTTAAAACAAAGACAATGTGCAAATTCTTATAAATATTCAGTATAAGTTTGTAACTTATAGTGTTCAATTGACCTTAAAAAAGTTGCCATATTTTTTGCTAATGTAGAAAAATAAAAAAAAAAACGAGTTGGTTTTTGGGCTTGTGTGTGTGTATTTTGTATCTTGTATCTATGTGTGAGCGCTTGGAAACAGAATGTGGCACACTTAGCGCTCGGTCGACGTCGCTGCGCTGCGCAAAAAGTTTCCCCTGCCCCCATGTGTAATGTATGCGAGTGTGTGTGTGTGTGTGGTGAGACCCACCAGTTTCTTCTGTGCCAGGTCCCAGTCCATCGGTATCCGAAAGATACAAAAAGCGACGCTGCAGCTTTGTTGCCTCGCTCTGCATACATGGCCATTTGAATCCGCTTAGAAGTGCGCGCGCGCGCTGCCAGAGCGAAAGAGACGAAAGCAGCGGCAGCGCAGTTTCGTTAAAAAGCTTCCAGTTTGCGCCAACACACAGTCACGTGGGGCCGCGTATCTGTGTGTGCCAGTGCCAGTGCCCGTGTATCTTTGTATCTCTGTATCTTTGCGGGCGAGCTTCGGCATCTTGGCCGCTTTTTGCGGCCTGAGCTGAGTCAGCAGGCAGCGGGCAGGCACCATTAGTTGGAGCACATTTTGTGTATGCTGCCATTAGTTTTTTCTTTTCGTCCCTCTTTTTTTCTCTCTCTCTTCCGAGGTTTTCTTGGCCCTGCACAGATACTCAGATACACAGATACAGATACATTTGCCATGGAAAAAGGCCTTACGCAGCCAAGAACCAGACCGCAGCTGCATTCTTTTTCCCACAGAACTGCATCCACTTCCACTTCATTATTGACCCAGTTTTCCCCACTAGGCTTTCACAGCTGCTGCTCTCGCTCGCTGCACCGCCTTTTGAGCGGCCAAAACCCTATGATTAAGCCAGGTCCAGTCCGAAACTAGACCAAGCGCATAGCTTCGCCTCTTGGCTGCACAAATCAACCAAAAAATGAAAAATTGAAAGCGGCAAGTCCCTCGTTAAACAGAAATGGCAGCGGAAATTGGCCAAAAAAATAAAAATCTGGCTCAGGCCAAAGTGAAATCGGAAATGGAGGACTCCTGCTCATACAGCAACCCTTTAGCTTTGCCAAGTATTCCCTTTGGCCATCCATTCCAATCGTCAATCATAGCATTTTGGGAAGTAAATGGAAAACATAATTCAATCAGTCAGACCAATATTCCTTCAATCGAAATTGCATAAATATATCCTTGCAGGGTATTATCATGTTTGTCAAAAGCTTGTAACGCTGCAAGAGTCATTTCTTCATCAGAATCAACAGCAGAGTCGATCTAGCTAGATGGAAAAATAATTTTTCACTTTTGATTTCAGGTTAAGTTACATCGTTAAAATTGTCAAATTTGGCAAAAAAAGTTTATTTTTTAATTAAAAAATGAGTATGCAGATTTGTTAATCTATTAATAGTTAAAGCTTTCCGAATTAAAATTAATGCTTTTTTGACTTAGTTATGAGAATTTTAAAACTACTATGACAGGTAAAAATCCAAATAAAAGAAATGAGTATATATGTATCTTATAAAAGTTAGTCAAAAAATAACGATTTTATATAAGAGCTAGTATTTTCTACTATTATTTTCTCTTTGTTTTTCTTTATATTTTTATGTTTAACTATATTAAAATGTTCTGATTAAACAAAGATCTTTTATTTAGAAGACAAATCTAACTGGAAATCTGAAGGATTCATCCTCGAAATCTCATCAGTATATTTATATATTTAATTTTTAACTCAAGATATTTACCATGTAGCTTTGGAAATCCTCAATTTTCCATACAATTTTTTTCTAGCAGTGTTTTCAATGATTTACCGATTTACCAATCCAATGCACTCAATCGCTTTGACCAGCAACTTGAGGGCATTCATTGTCCTCACATTCTATGGATGTTTCAGATCCCCTCACTTGGAATCCCAACCCACCGACACACTGCTGCGGCTTTTTCCCTACAGTTCCGTGACATATTCCCTGGATATATGATGGAGCACGTTGCTCCAACCAGTGCTACCTACTACCTACCCCTGTCCACAGTCCGCGATTGATTGAATGGATGCAAACACTGATTGACTGATTGAGGCTACCTGCCTGCCTGCAGGTTGTCAGCGGACGCTTTGCATTGACCGTTAATTGAATTCGCCTCCAGGTGGCATTCGTCGAGGTGGAGCAGCAGCTCCAGCAGGAAATTGCACAGCTTGCGTTCAATTAGATGGAATTCGATTTGTCCCATCCCGCATCCCCGTACAAAATTCATTTAGCAGTGATGCATTTTAATTGGTTCCTCCCATCCAGGAGTGGATACATGAATACTACATACATACATATGCTTCCAACCCAAGTGATCCTAGGCATAGGGACCAATGCCAGCGGCACGTCCCATTAGAGCCGGAATGTTGCTCTGCTCGTAGTTGCCGCTAAAGTACTGAGCATATGGTCCCGAGGCGTAAACTGGGACATCATCACCTCCATGCGATTCGGCATCCAAGGGAACCAAAGTGGGGTGCTGGAAGTCAGGGTCCTCCATGAACTTCTCCTTGAGCAGGGCTCGACCCTCGGCACGATTGTAGGCGGAGGTATAACCAGGACCATTGGCATACGAGAGAATTGTGTAAGGTAGATCATCGTCCGCCAACTGGGCCAAGCCAGTGATGTCCTGATCGCGGAACTGCAATAAGAAGAAGATAATCAGTAATAGTAAGTTTTTTCAGGCTCATCCCTCCTCACCGGATATCCATTGATAGACATGACATGTCCATGATCGGCAGTGACCACAATTAGGGTATCCTCCTCGGAGGTCAGTTCACGAGCCACTTGCACAGCTCTGGCAAACTCGGCGGTGTCCTCAAGGGATCTCCTAGCGTAGGTGTCATGATGAGCCATGTCAATGCGGGCGCCTCGACGAACAGGAAGAATCCCTCGTCATTGCGTCGCAGAACCTTAATGGCGGCTTCCGTTAGCTCGCTCAGCGAAGGATCCGCCAACTGGCTGCGTTTCCGGTTCCTGTCTCCATTGTAGGGCAAGTGAGAGCTGGCAAAGAGACCTAGCAAATAGTCCGTTTTGTCCAGATCCACCAGGCTAAGACCCTTGCGACTCCACACATAATTGGCAGAGACATTAGCTTCCTGTTTGTGGGCCAACCAGTCGCGGATCAAGTGACGCCCATCGGTTCTATAACCAGGATAACCCTCCTCATCGTTCACGGTGGTATTGATAAAGTTCTGCCGCCCACCGCCGAGGATCACCTTGAGACCCTGACCCACCGGTTGCTCCACCAGCTGGCGGGCAATATCAAGTGTCTTCTCGGGATCACAATTCCTGTTGGCCACCTCCCAGTCATTCTCCCAGTTACGATCCGCGGTGTGGGCATAAACGCCGGCTGGAGAGGCATGTGTAACCCGAGCGGTGGTCACCAGACCAGCATTCTTACCCGCAGCCTGAGCCCACTGAGCGATGCTTAGCACCTGGTTCTCCTCCAGTCGATCACCATCGCAGTTGTACCTCGGAACATTCGCATTTATGCCAATGGTTCCGTAGTTTCCTTTAACGCCGCCCAAATAAGCGGTGGCCGTGCAGGCGGAATCCGCCACTTGCCTGTTGACGCAGTACGTCTTGGAGAGACCCGTGTACGGGAAACCCTCAAAGTACACCTGCTCTGCACTGTCGCCCAGCAGATTCCGAGTGGCGGTCACCGTGTGCACGGACATGCCATCGCCCAGGAAGAGGATCACATTCTTGGCCTTGTTAGTGTGCGCTGCCTGGGATTCGGCCAGCTTGGACAGCAGCTTGGCCTGAGCCTTGTCCACCCAGTATTGCGACTGCTGCTCCTCGGCATTCTTGATGGGATGTGCTTCGGGATCGAAGGAACGTCCTCGTGGGTGGTCTGGCAAAAGTGGGGCAACAAAGTTTGTAAGAAACACTTATTGAAGGCTAAAACCTCTATAAATCACTTCGGAGACTTGGGGATTTCTAAAATATATCACCGGGATTACGGAGTCTTATCTCTACGCAAGAGTTAGCATGTACTTTTCGATAACAAGTTATTTCTAAGAATTTTTAGCTCAATAAATACTTCCTAAAAGTTAAAATAAAACAGGAATTGTACTTTTGAATTAAGCTTCATGATCGATTTCTGATTCTATCCCATAGTTCATAGCAAACTGCAAGGATACATAGCCTTGGCTTCCCGAAGTTAGTTTTCTTTCTTATTACTTCTACATTATTTTTAAAACTTTTATTAGTTGTTTAAGCTGAAGACTTCTTACTAAAAAGTATGTTTATCCTTCGATTCCAATTTCTCAAAATCAAGACATCTTACCCCTTTGTCCGCTGACACTACCACTCAGCCAGATGGCCACGAGGAGAATCAAAATGAATCTTTTGGCCATTTTCCGCTAATCCCAAGTTACCCAAAGCGACTTGTGTGGAGACCAGACCTTGGTTACAGACTGAATCGACTGACCGGGGCCCCTCGAAATGGCCATCGCTGGCAGCTTATCGCCCTAAATATCACAGAATAAATCTAATCAAAAGAACTAATCTAGACGGTTCAATTCAAACATCATTTATGGCTGACCAAGAATCAGTTAACAGAAGTCGTAGAAGGCAGCCAGCCAAATGGCCAATGCCAAAATATGCTCACGTGCCCAGGCCACAAACTTTATGAATCTCAGTGGACTCCAATCAATGATTGATTACGTGTAGAAGGAGTCATGCAATCGAGTTCAGTGAATGAAGCTAGGAGTCAGGATTCTGGAGTCTGGGAAATTGGAGACTGGAGCTGGAGTCTGGAAAATCAAACCCAAAACCTCTTTAGACTTTTTTAACCAACTTTTCTTAAACAACTCTTTGGTGTTTACAGCAAATGCTTTATTTTTCAGACACACTTCAGTCTGTGGAATTTTATGGTATCCTTTTGGAATTTTGCCACTACAACTTTTGTGGCTTTGATTAAAAGAATTTTTGATTGTGCATTGTTTATAAATTTCTTGTTTGCATACTTTCGGGCTAGCTGGAAGCCACAAAAATAGTTGAGGGAAATACCAAGATACATATTCCTTTTTTTATATTATAGTTTTGGCCAACGCCACAATGGAACCTGTAAATTTAATAACCTAAAAAAAGTCTTAAGTGAGCTAAAAGATATCTCTCCTTGTTAAGTATTAAACCCACCGCAGTGAAGACTGGCAGGGAAGGAGCAAAGAATGGAACTTTGACGGTAATGGGTCGTTGGGCTCGCAGGATAATCAGGAATACCCGACGACGTGTCTCCCGATCCCATTCATACCAGGCACTGCTATAGGCAGCTTCTCCTAAGGAAAGGCTCTGCAAGAAGGAATAATATTCTAGTCTAGATTCTAAATAGAATGGGAAGAATATCTAATGAGACTAAGGACTCACCTTAGTGGCCATTTCTGTGCCTCCATAGCAGTAGAGAAATATAGCTGAGCAAACAGTGAATGTGTATACCACATACCGAATGATATTGTAGCCGGAATACTTATTTAAAATGTAATCAAATAAATATATAAATTAGATTACATATATATGCTTACCAGAAGTATGTCTATCAGACTGGTGGCTATCACTAGACTGGCTGACAGGAAATGCACAAATGTGGGTGCTCCCATGAGAACCGAGAAACGCTCGACAATTCTCTCGATTTCATTATGACGATCCACGATATCGATCAAGCGATGACAGCATATTTCACTATCTCTAGGTGAAGGATCTATAAAAACGAAAAGGAGGAATAATATGAAATTAGTTAAACTTAAGATATTACTTTAAAATCTAATCCTATCCCTTTGAAACCACTTCATCTTATTTCAAACTCAAATTATATTTACCTTGAATAGGCCTAAGGGTATCCTGAATATCCCATTCCAGAGCCTGGAGCAGAAAGCCACATAGAGGGTAAAGCCAAAGAAGAAACCATCGGTGCCAGCAAAGGCATAAACTGTGACCTGACCACTCCAAGTGGAGTACAGATAGAACAATGGAAACCAAGGCATTCGATGGGCAAAATCCGGAAATCTAAATATCAAGCAACCTATTAAAAATATATATAAAACTAATACCAAGAACCTACAGCATTCGAAAGGGCATATCGAATTTGAACTCCTGCCGGCGACGTGCATACATCTCCCAGAAGGATCGCAGGACAAAGGCGCAGGTGTTGATGCTGCCCAGTGTGAAAACCATCATGCCACATCTAGTCACCATCACATAGCAGCTCCTTTGGGCCACATCTCGCCGCTTGTCCCGCCTCTTCTCCTGCTCTCCAATAAGCTGACGGATGCGCTCCATCAAGGCAGCCACCTCCTGACAGCGCCACCACATCCAGCACAGCTTAAAGAGCGTGGTCAGGCTGCAGGCCAGCGGGCAGAAGGCATCCATGGCATCCACAGGACTCGTCCGCAGATGGCTCCAGCCAAAGACGAACTCCGCCTGACAGCAGTGCGCCAGATTTATGACATTGAAGACCAACCAAATCAGTTGCCACCACGACAATTGCTTCTGGCCGAAGCTCAGGCCCAGCAGACCAAAGGAGTATCTGGTCACGAAGAACAGATGCTTCGCCAGGGGATAGTTGCGGTCTAGAAATTTAGGATACATGTCTTTACTTTTGGAACAGCAGCTATTCCTTTTATACAGAAGCAGAGCTCTAATGAGGAGCGTCTACTAATTGCTTAATAATTGTTTTACCCACGGAGAACACAGCACCTGGCCGGGTGTTTAATAACAGGATTATTGAATATCCCTAATTGAGTGGTCAACACCCACCAAACACATGTCATGTTATGGTCACAGGTGTTTAAATCTTAATAATTAACAATTGCTGAAGCGATGAGGTATTACCATTTCAATTAGAATTAGATTGATTCTGGAAGAGCTACCACAACGTTTTGTTCCTTTAAAATTGACTAATTGAAAGTCAACTTAAGTTCAAGTGAAATTCTCATAAATAAAGCATCCCTATATATGCAGATTCCTTCGCTTTGGTTTCAATAACCTTTTGCCATTTATCTGGAAGTACTTATAAATTCCTTTTGACATTGATTTCAGACAAGGACAAATGCCATAGATACATCTGTTATTCATATTTCCGAGGGAAAGTACTTGCTGAATAAAGGAAATGAAATAAGTTTGTGAATGGGAAGCAGGAATTTCTCAATCTTCGAAGCCTGCTCTGTTTAAGATACATTGCTGAAAACATTGATGACATTGGCCTATTGATGACATGTTTTGGTTCTACAGGATGGTCCTCTGTCTTTTGTGTAGTTTGTTGAACTCCCAATGAACTCGCGCCTCGAAATTGGAATTTCAAATCACTCAGCAATGTGGGTCAGCCGAGAAGAAACAATCAGAAAACAAAAATTCGTGTAGAATTAGCATAGGATTCGCGGCGCACACAGATTTATGTTGATGCATGCAATCCGAGTGTGGATTCTCCTTTATTTTCTTTGGGCTGAATCACTTTTAATTAATTCTTTGTCCGGGGCCCACGTGGCGTATGAGTAATATTGATTTTCAATGGGGCAGCAAGGAACTCCCTCCTCTCTCTCTCTCTGTCTCTCTCTTGATTATGATTATTTTGCCAAGGAGTCGCGTAATCTGAGTAGGAAGGAAAGGAAAAACATCCCCGCCCCCAAGGCTGATATCATCATCATCGCAGGGCCACCACCCCCGAAAAGAAAACCCCAAGCTTTGGCGCCTCATTTTATGATGGCCCTGCAGCATTTGTTGGAGGGTGGAGGTGCGGCAAACCACCCCCGAAAAAGGCAACAAAGGTGACCCCGACACACCCTGTTGAGCTGTGCTGGAAAAGTTCACCCTGGAAGCCCAAGAAAGCCATTACATTTGATTTTCCTGGCGCCCTGCGATCCTGCTGCAGGAAAATGAGGAAAACCTACCGTACCACACGTAGCATAGCAAGTGGAAAAGCTAGAGGAGTGCCAGCTGGAAGCGAGGAAAAAGGAGGCCAGCGTGTCAGCGAGTCGCCAAAAAAAAATAGAAGCAGAAAAAAAACAGTTGCAGAACCCGAATGAAAAACCCGTTTTCCCACTCGTCGCTGCTGGTTGGCCCACATTCGCCGTGTTGCTGTGGAAAATGGAAGCGAGTTTTCCCAGTTTCCCCCCCTTGAGCTGTACAAAAAGCAAAGGTGCCCCGAAACAGGTTGATTTTCCTGCCAACGCCGTTGGCCATTAGCCAAATGGGATTTCACACGCTTCCTTTTGGGCACCGACTCCAGCCCGGGCTCGGGATCTCCGCTCTGATGCGTTCGCCTCACGCCATGTCCCAGTTGGAGTCGGAGCTGGAGCTGGAGCGGGAGTTGGAGGTGCTGTTGGTGCCTGTCAGCGCCACCCATCCAACATCCATCCCACTCAACTGCCATCATCATTGTCAACATCACCATCCAGTCATACAGTCATCCAGTCATCCATCCAGCCAGTCATCCATCTAGCCATACCAGTCCTTTAGCTGCAGGCGGGATCAATTATTAAGGCGCCGCTCTGGAGGTGTGTGTGTGTGTGTGTGTGTGTGCGACAACCTGATTGACAACCTGAGCCTGGAGCCTCAGAGCCTCTCAGCACGTCATCCGATTGGCACAAAGCCCATATTCACGGTTGGCAATCAGTTCCAGGTGACAGATTAAGGGGAGTTTTAAGTGGAAGAAATATAAGGCTTTTATGAATGTCTTATTTATATAGTATAAGGTTGTTCTTGATTCAAATAAGGTTTTATCTAGTTTTAATATATTTAATATATTTAAATAGAAAATAACCTATTTGTGCAACCTTACTGTAAAAATTAGAGCACAATAATCATAGAATTTATTCAAATATTATTTTGCAATCTTTATAGTTATCTCTCTCAGACATTAAGTCCAGTGTGGAACCAAAGTTTTAAACAAAGATGACCTTTCTACTTGTTATACCCGCGGGTATTCAAATTTTATTCAGAAGCTTGATACACTGTAAAGGAGTCATTTCCCATAAATCATATATATATTCTTGATCAGCATCGCAAGCTGAGTCGATCTAGCCATCTTTGGGGAAAACAAAAATTTTAAAATTATTTTAAAATGTAAAATTTTAATTTTTTTTTAATATTAATGCAGTATACAGATTTATTACCCTAATAAAAACTAACATAAGAATGCCGAATTGAAATCAATGCTTTTTTGGCTTAGTTATGAATTTTTAAACTTGCATTTGTCAAAAAAATTCATATAAATTATTAAAATTATTATTTTAAGCTTAATTATGATCGATTTCGCATATGATCCTATAATTCAATTGGAAACTGTAAGGATTTATAATCCTTAGCTTCCCCATATAGTTTTCTTTCTTGTTTTTGTTAAATGTTGTTCTAATATTTTAAAATACAAAACTTGTATGTTTTCACTTATTTCCTGGAATTAAAGCATTTATAATAAACATGTACATATATATAATAATGGTTGCGAAAATTTCCTTTTCATTTCGTGTCAATCTTTATAGGCATTTGACATGATATTTAACCATTTTATATGCATGATCCTAGAGACACATGCCAGAATCACTTAACCCAATCTCGTAACCTATATAGAATAACCTATATACAAGCAAACTTTCAGAAATTCCCAACGACAATCCGAAACAACTATTTTTCTTTAAATTAGAACTACATATATGATGATTCGCTTTCTGCTGGTTAATTCACAAAGCGGCGTTAATTATAATTAAAACAGGCCAACTAAATGAATAAATGTATAATTAGCCTGTACATCACTCTATATACAATCGAGTCATATCTAGAGAAGCACTCATAGAGATATATGTATATATATATATATTGTAGTAAATATATGGAATATGTGGGGCTTATATCCCGTTCACATGGCCACAGATCGAGCGTGACACAATACAATTTGTGGCGCTTTGTTCTAAGCGCTTGAAAACTCTTCGCTTCTAGCCGCATGGCCGCCCAACCCCCGTCTTTGGCCCCGATTGCTTTCCCCACCCCCACCGTTTTTCCCCACCCCCTCAACAGCCCCTTTGGCACTGAGCAGACGTGACATAAGCTAAATTGTTTTAAATTTTGTTGAATCGCTTTTCCAATGACTGCCAAGCATTCGGGGTACTACTGCCGCTGGCGATAAATTGGAACCGCTTCGCATGTCATGTGGTCGAGTGGTTGGAAATTGTGGCTGCTGCTGCAAGGAAGGAAGGAAGGGAGGTGGGTGGGTGGGTTAGGTTCTGGGTCTGCGGTGTGGAGCGAAACTTGTGTCTAACTTAGCCCCCGGGCGGGGAGCAGATCTTTAAACTGCGGCTGCACTGCATCGGATAATTGCCGGTCGGAATGGAGATGTCAGCTGATGGTGCGGAAGGGGTATCGGAATGGGGCACACCACAGGCAAACGCCTCTGATTAATGACAATTAGCGCGGATCGATGTTGGATCGGTGATGGCCTCCAGTTTGGTCATAGTTACAGCTGGGAACATGAGCAAGCACTTCCTCCTCCGTTCATGTGTAATGACATCAACATGCATTTAACGTAACAAGGCTACTTAGGAGAGTGGGTAGCATGGGAGTGTTGAAATCGAGTTGATATTAATTAAGTTTCATTTGTAATGGGTTATGTTAATTTGGGCAATAATTATTATAGTAATGTTTTTAAAACACACAAATAATATATGTATATACATACATTCAATGACTGTATATACTATATACAGTTACATTACTTAGTACATTTATTTCTGCCGAAATCAAGCTAATATTTAATAGGTTTTAAAATATTAAATTTAAACCTTTTAACCATAACATGTTAATATCGAAACAGGAAAGGAAACTAATTCCAGGAAGCCGAAGTTTATATATCCTAGCAGTTTTCAATAATATAGGACCGATATGAAAATCTATCATAACTATCACATTCTTTAATTTGATATTTATCAATATTTTTAGGACAATTTTGTTGACAAATCAAAGTTTAAAAATCTCATAACTAAGCCAAAAAAACATTAATTTCAATTCGGAAAGCTTTCCTATGTTAGTTTTTGTTTGGTTAATAAATTGCTTACTCAATATAAATTTTAAAAATTTAAAAATTTCCAATTTTGACAATTTTAACGATGTAACTTTCCATTTTTTTTTTAAATTTAAAAGTTTTGAATAATTTTTTATTCTTCGAGAGATGGCTAGATCAACTCGGCTGTTGATGCTGATCAAAAATATATATGATTTCTAGGGTCGGAAATGACTCCTTCACAGTGTTACAAGCTTCTGACTGAAGTTACAATACCCTGCAAAGGTATATTGATAGGTCTATATATTTGGTATGTAGTTACCAAATTTAAATATATTTTTTATGTTTATTATAAGTCCAGGAAATAAATGTTTACTCCTCATTATTGGTATTAAATTTAAAAAGGAAATTATTTAAAACTAAATTATAATAACTTAAATTTGTTATCTTTGCATTATGTGAACCCTTAAATTGTAAGCCTTTTCTCCTGTTAAGATTCTTATACCAACAAAGCCCTGAATCATGACATCTTGATCCCACCTGGATTATTCTAAGGGTAACTTTGTGGGTATTGCAGTTTTGACATCCAGCCCTTAACCTTTACAAACAAAGCGG